CTATACTACTCCCTTCCTTTCCCCATCCCCCAACCTCAGACCTGGTACTGGTGTGTGTAAGACCCAGGGGGCGGGGGGCGGGGGGCGGGGAAGGGGAAAGGCCAGTTTTTAAGTTCCACACTTCCAGGTTAATGTGACTCAATGAGTGATTTAAAAACAAACTCTGTGTGCCTTGCTTGTCATATCAGAACACACATTTCTGTTCTTCCAATATCTTGTCAGGCAGGGATTATTACTTGCCTCCTCCATGGAAGTAATAATAATGAATACTTATTGACTACATACTTTGTACTAAATACTATCACAAGTATTTTACATGGATGATTGTATACAATTCTCATAAAACACTGATGGGTAAGTACTGTTATCATCCCTAATAAACAGATGAGGATAACAAGCCGCACAGAGGATGCATTGACTTCAAAGTCACAGAACTGTCTGCTCTTTCTGTTGGACTGGGCTTCCTTTTAATAGAGCCTGTGACTACTCCTGGGGTGGGCAATCCCCAATCTTTGAGAGCAGGATTGGTTTCTGGAAAGAGCCTTAAGTGGTAGATTCAGCGAGTAGGAGATTGAGTTGGTAGGTACCATGTTTGGGAAAACAGCTGGTGTGGCCTCAGGGAAGGGTTCCCTGAAGGGTTTTAGCCTTACAGGCCCTTTGGAACTGTTTGGCTTCTTAATGTTCAGAGATTACATCCACTAGACAAGGTCACTCACCTAGTGGCAGAACAGAAATAATAGCTCAGAGCTCCCAAATCCCATCCCAGGGCTATGTCTCCCAGTAATGTAAGGGATTAAATATCATCCTCTCTAGGCCACTATACTACCTGCAGTAAAAAAGAACGGAATTTATTTTTTTTTTTAAAATACATATTTTATTGATTTTACAGAGGAAGGGAGAGGGAGAGGGATACAGAGTTAGAAAACATCCATTCAGCTGCCTCTTGCACGCCCCTTTACGGGGGATGTGCCGGCAACCCAGGTACATGCCCTTGAACGGAATCGAACCTGGGACTCTTGAGTCCGCAGGCCGACACTCTATCCCTTGAGCCAAACCGGTTAGGGCAAAAAAGAAGGAATTCTTACCATTTGCAACAGCATGGATGGAACCAGAGAGCATTATGCTAAGCGAAATAAGCCAATCAGAGAAAGATAAATATCACATGATCTCACTCATTTGTAGAATATAGAGAACAACATAAACTGATGAACAAAAACAGATCCAGAGACAGAGAAGCATGGATCAGACCGTCAAACCTTAGAGGGAAGGTAGGGGAGGGTAGGGGTAAGGGGGAGAGATCAACCAAAGGACTTGTATGCATGAATATAAGCATAACCAATGGACACAGACACCAGGGGAGTGAGGGCATGAGAGGGGGGTGGGGGGTGGGGGCAATGGGCGATATGTAATACCTTAATCAATAAAGAAAAAAAACTTTAAATAATATATTTTTGTTAGTCCAATATATCCAAAATACTAGTACAATCATTTCAACATGTTCTTGACATAACATTGATAAGGAAATAGTTTATATTCTTTCTTTGGTAAGTATTGTAGTAAAACATATAACATAAAATTTATCATTTAACTTTTAAATTTATTTAAAATTTTTTAAGTATAATACTCAGCGGGGTTAAGTATATTCACATTGTTGTGCAACCATCACCACTATCCATTTCTACAACTTTTTCATCACCCAAACTGAAATTCTGTACCCATTACATAGTAACTCTTCATCCTCCCCTCCCTTCAGCCCCTGGTAACCTCTATTCAGCTTTCTGTCTCTATGGATTTGCCGATTTTCTATACCTTACATAAGTGGAGTCATACAATATTTGTTCTTTTGTGTCTAGCTTATTTCACTTAGCATAATGTTCTCAGAGTTCATCCATTTTGGAGCATGTATCAGAATTTTGTTCCTTTTTTATGGTTGAACAATATTCCATTATACGTGTATACCACATTTTGTTTATCTGTTCAGCTGTTGATGAACACTTGGGTTATTTCCACCTTTTGACTATTGTAAATAGTGCTGCTATGAATATTGGCATACAAGTCTTTTTTTTTAAAGCATTTTTTTATTTTAAAAATATATATATTATTGATTTTTTACAGAGAGGAAGGGAGAGAGATAGAGAGTTAGAAACATCGATGAGAGAGAAACATCGACCAGCTGCACATCTCCTACTGTGAATGTGCCCACAACCAAGGTACATGCCCTTGACCGGAATCGAACCTGGGACCTTTCAGTCCATAGGCCGACGCTCTACCCACTGAGCAAAACCGGTTTCAGCGGCATACAAGTCTTTAGATGACTTGTTAAAAATAAAAACCATAGGGCAGTGGGAAGGGTAGGAAAGACAAAAATAGAATATGAATATGTTGGACTGTGGTGGGACACAGTGAGGAATTTGGGAGCAAGAGATACACACTTTATTAAATTGTCTGTTTGACCATGCTCTTAGGCATATGGAAGTAGGCAGGGGGGTTTAACTGAGATATAGTAATGCACAGGAAGACAGAAACAGATGGAGGTTGTGGGGACCTCATTATTTGGAGTGAGGCCAAATACCTGAATCTCCACTTTCACAGAGCATGGGCATCTCTTTGTTTCTTTAGGGAAGTTACCTCTTTCTTCCATTCTCTCTCTTTCCCTCAGTCCTGATCTAGTTGCATTGATTGGCTGCATGACTTTACTGCTCTGAGCAGGAAATCCCAGTTGAATGCTCCCAGGATCCCTCCTCTTAAGCAAGAGCTCACAGGTTGAAATCTCCTCCATGGTTTCTCCACCCAAGTCCCCCACCCAAGCTTTGTTCAGTGAAGCTACTGAGGGAAAACGTAGGCCCAAGGATTGCAGTCAGATTTCAGCTTTTCATCAGATCCTGAGAAAAGATGCATTAGCATCATTACAGTCATACAAATGGTACCTATCAGGATTCCTGCACTGGTGGGAAAGCAGACTAGAAAACCTCTTGTATCTTCAAATCGGAGATTATAGGATTCTATAAATATAAAAGCAATAGGCATAACACTTAGCAAAATTTAAAATAGAATTTTATTATATCTTATAGCTAAGTTTAACACTTGAACTGTTTGACAGATACAAAATACACTAAAAAAAAAGGGGAGATATGATTGAGAAGGTACAAGAGGTAAATAGACAAAAATATTATTCTCCCTTAATCTGGAAAGAAGCAGGATGTAGAATGTGAAGAGTAATCTGGATTTGTTGCAGGGTTAACAACAAGGGCAGGGTTAACTCTCAAAACACATAGTCGTTCATCTCATTAAGCACACAGCAGAGAGAAAACAGAGAATTTACACAGGCTGAGGAAATAAATGGCAGATGTTAAACAGGAAGCAATATAACATGGGAATTAAGTAACTATATTTGATCATCAAATGTAATTTCAAATCTTGGCGTAGCACACACAAACTGTATGAGTTATCTTGTTAATGTAAGCCTCATTTCTCTCACTTATAATAGGAGACAAAAATATACTTACCTCATAAAGTTGTTGTGAAGATCAGATAAAACCCATAAAACACTCATTACAGTGCCGGGAACATTGCAAGCACTCAAGATATGTTCATTGACATTATTGTTTAGGGCTTAGATAAATTCTCGGGTAATGAATGGTAAGCAAACTGTGAGGTCTGTGAAAAGCCCTGGTTTATATAAATTACCTGTTTTATTTCCCCATTTAAAAAGTTATACATGCCAGCTAAACAAGACCTTCATAATAAATAAATTTAGAAAATAAGACCAAAAATAAATCACTAATAATTTGAGCATATTTCCTTCGAGGCAGTTTATTTTTCAAGTTAGTTTCAATCATATGTCTATTGTTTTTCATAAAATTATAGATTGTTTTGTTTTATAGCAGAGTCTTTAAAGGACATATCATATTTCTTTAATATGGATTATTCCACATAATATTCCATTAAGTAAATGGACCATACTTGAGTTTACTCTTCCTTACTTTTACATATTATGGTAGGAGATTTCTATATATGATTACTGTAAATAGTGATGTAACTAATATCTGTTTTGAAAAACCCGTTTTCTGCCACTTATATTTATTTTGTTAGGATGCATTTTCAAAAGTGCGATTTCAGCATTAAAGCATACAACTTTTAAAAAGTTCTTGTTTCATACAACCAATTATATCATCAGCTGTGATGTTTAAGAATATACAGGGTGTCCCAAAAATGTATACACACTTTGAATGATTATAAAGTCAGTGTTTATTAACATACAGTTCATTTCCAAAATTTAAAAGAATCTGCAGAAATGAATAATTTTTTTTTTTTTGTCAATGCCTGTTTCAAACTGATGATCATTCTGGTACTGCTAATAACACGAAGCAATGGAATCGCAAACATCAAGAATCATTTCGTTCGGTATTCGTGTGCCCTCAGTTCATCGACTGTTGCTGGTTTCATACCATAAACTTTATATTTTGTCTAGTGGTACTTTAGGATAAAGTTTCTTTGTTCAAAGCCTAGTCTGGCTTCACCCATTATTTCAAATCAGTTAAACCTGAAAAGGAGTGAAAATTAAGTGAGTTATCAGCTGTTAAAGTGTGTATGCATTTTTTGGGACACTATATGTTTTAACATAATCTCCTTTTTTATTGTAAATTCTCATTAATAAAAATTGCTAATTTGATAGACAAAAATGCTACCTTGGATTAGTAGTCAGATAGAGTAATTTGTCTCTTGTTTCAGAGCCAACTGTATTTTTGGCACTCTTCTTTACGTTTTTTTTTTAAATACTTATTGGAGCATTGGTGGATTTTCTACTTAAATTTTTTATATAGTAAAGATATAAATAACATTTTGAGCTATGGAAGGGAATTATGGTATCTCCCCAAATTTCACTCTGAGCTGAGACAGAATTTGGAGATCAAACCAGAGAAAAGCATTGATATGCTTATCGGCTAGCATTAGTAAGTCATTATCAAGCCATTAAGGATAAGGGAAAGTGGAGTGGGAAGGGTCACCTGCTTCACACAGTCCGAGGGTCCTTGTCACAGCTGATCTTGAACATAGCTAGGACTCGAGTTCTGATCTGTTTGGTTTTGGCAGCATAGATAATGGGATTGATCACAGGAGGCAGGAGTAGGTAGATATCACCCATGAGAACGTGCACAATGGGATGAAGGCTGTTTCCAAAGCGATGTACCACTGAGAGGCCAATGAGAGGCACATAGAAGGCCAATACCACACTGATGTGTGACACACAGTTTCCAAAGGCCTTGGCCCGCTCTGACTTGGAAGGCAGTCGTAGAACTGTTCGTATAATCAGAAAATAGGACAAGGAGATGAACAAGACGTCCACGCCCATAATCAGGAGAATGGCAGTAAGACCATAGACCATATTGGGCAATGTGTCTGTTTGTGACAACTTCATCACATCCTGGTGTACACAATAGGAGTGCGAGAGCACATTGGACTGGCAGAAGGCCAGCCGTTTGATGAGCAGAGGCAGTGGGATAAAGAAGAGGGATCCACGGACCACGGCCACCACACAAATTTGGGCTGTTACTGTGTTGTTGAGCACTGCAGCATGGCGCAATGGGTGGCAGATGGCTATATAACGGTCAAAGGCCATGGCCAGAAGGATGGTGGACTCAATGGCCGAGAGAGCGTGAATAAAGAACATCTGGGCAATGCAGGCATCGAAGGCAATCTCCCTGGAATCAAACCAGAAGAGGGCGAGGATCTTGGGCATGGTGGATGTGGACAGGGCCAGGTCGATGGCTGCCAGCATGCAGAGAAAGAGGTACATGGGAGCATGCAGGCTGCGCTCCGTCTTTACGATAAAGACCACGATGCAGTTTCCAAACACCGCCACAGCATACATTGAAAGCAGAGGGAAGCCGATCCAGAAATGGACTTCTTCTAGTCCGGGGAAACCAATAAGCACGAAGGTGGCATGTGTGAAGTTGCAGGAACTCATAGCTGGCACGGAGAAGGGGCACTGGAGAGGGTCAGGTCACACTGGCAGCCTGGTAGGAGATGGAGCACAATCAGAGAGGCCAGCCCTGGAAACTGGGGACTGATGCACCTCAGTTCTCCTTCCTTTATTCTCTCCTCCCTCTTCCAAGCCTTTTTGGCTTTTTCATAAGCTATGAAGCCCCCTCCAAAGAGAAAAGTGACAGCTCAAATTCATGTACTGTCACTATTCTCAAGGTCCATTTATATTTTTAAAAGGGAACCTGGAAAGAACATGCTTATCCCAAAATGTATCCTTCTCAAGTTTCCTTAGACTCCTTCTCCCAGCCCATACCTTCATTGTCTGGACACTGGGTGGTCCTTTTCTCAGATAGGTGTTAAGAGATACCCTTTTGGGAACCCCTTCCAGATATGGCTGTGTCCTCCTCCCCTCTCCTCCCCTCCCCTCCCCTCCCCTCTCCTCCCTTCCCCTCCCGTCCTCTTCCTTCCCTTCCCTTTCCTTCCCTTCCCTTCCCTTCCCTTCCCTTCCCTTCCCTTCCCTTCCCTTCCCTTCCCTTCCCTTCCCTTCTCCATTCTCCCTTCCCTTCCCCTCCTCTCCCTTCTCCTCTCCTGTCTCCCTTCTTTCCTTCAATTTTTCATTCATTCCACAAACAATGACTTACATGACATACTATGTACAAGGTTATTTGTTAGATGCTGTTGATACAGAGGTGAAAGACACCTTTTGCCCTTCAGATGCCCTACTTAGAGTGAAAAAGGGACAAGTAACCAAATTATTAGGGTTTGGGAATGTGCTAGCATAAGGTGGGCATTTAATGCATGGGAAGAGGAGAAGCATGATCATATTCCTGAAAAAGATGATCCTTCTGTTCAGTTTTGAAACATAAGTAGAAATCAATCAGAGAAGGGAATAAAGGGTATATTGAGGATAGGGAGGGTTTTGTTTTGTTTTATTTTGCTTTGCAGTTTTTCAGGATTCCAAATACCCAGGTCTAAGGTCAGTGTGGGGAGAAAGAAACACAATAGTATTTTTTAAAAAAATTAAAAGGAAAAAGAATACGAAGCAAAAGGCCAAAAGTCAATCTATTAAGAAAAAAAAAAAAGGAAAGTCATCTGGGGGTCATTGAATGAAAGGCAGGAGCCCCTCCAATGACTTCTCTGGAGATAAAAGTGCTGGCAGGGTGTGGGGCCTCAGGCAGATCTTAGCTGTTTGGCATGTTCCCTGTGAAGGCTCTTCTCTCTCTCTCTCCTTGCTGATGGGATCCTACACATGTGAAAGCTGCCTACAAGGCCACTCTTATTGTCCCAAGAACTTGGTCCAAATCCAGATATTCCTAGAGCTTTGTCTTACCTGGAACATTGGCCAACACGGCATTCATATTAGGGCAGACATTTCCTTTTTAGAAACCCAGTGCTGTTCTGCCGCAACCTCCTCAACCCTAAACACGTGTGCTCTTACTTCATTAAATGTTTCCCTGCTAGGCTCCCTAGTGTCCTGGCTTTTAGAGCTAATTGTATCTCAAGAGCCAAGGAAATGGCTTCAATAAGAACCTCTGAGTCTTGGGAATAAATTCTGCAGGAGTTTTTATCAATTGTGTTCAGGTGAACTGTTCATCTCGCCAAGATTCTTCTTTACTCCTAACCTCAGTCCTTAACTGCAACTGGGAGATGCTCTTCCATTTGGCCTTAGTGGAGAGAGTTTGGAAACCAGCAGTCTTACATAAATATAATAAGATGAGAACTAAAAGATTTGACTTGTATTATCCCCTTTGGAGACAAAGTAGTAGTAACAAATCCAGGGATTAAAGATTATAAAATCCACACCTCTGACTGCTATTTGCTCTTCTCCATCCTCAGAACATGTACAAGGACATAACAGCTACCCTCCTTGACAAGCACAGATCCCAACTTTGGACCCTAGCTGCTGTCAGAGAATAAAAAGCTCTTTTCAGAGGCAGATAATTGCATCCCTCAGTGAGATCAAAGGAAGCTTATATCTTGCATCCATGCAACCATCTACGTATCTGACATAGGTAATTTGGGGAAAGGAGATTCAGAAATCCAAACAAATCAGGCTGGTAAGTATGTGGTAATGCTAAGGTAACTTCCTTGGAGGGAGGCCATATCACTGGACCTCTGTGTGCAAGAGAAATGGGGCCCAGGCGAAGAAAAGGGTAGGCATGGAAGTAGCAAGAGGAGCATAGTAACGTATTTCTTCCTTTTCAAGGCCTCCTACCCATCCCACTGCATGTAGCACTTTAGATAGATATAAGGGCCTCTGTTGGCCGCAGAGAGTCAGCTACTGTCCTGACCCATCACTCCGCAGGACATCTTTTCTGCTTTCCTGGTAGCAGTCTAAGACTTTGGGCCGTCATCTTGTTTCCCTAGTTTCCCTAGTTACCATAAGACCTTATGTCTCCCTCCCAGGTTGCCTTGCCTTTTGCCTAAGGTGACCCCTGGCTAGACCCAATTTCTGATTATCTTTGGGTCCAAATGTGGCTGTTGCATTTATACTCACTTGCTAATGCTCTGAGATATTCCTTCTTGGCCCATGGAGGTGTAGGTGGCATGCAAGGGCTTTCCCTGCCCTGCTGTGAGGCAGTGTGTGGGGTCTTCAAGGTCCCTTAGGACGCAGGATTTGGGCTGCCTAACCCCAGATGAGGTTGCACTCACTTGAAAACGGTGCAGAGAAAGCAGCTGGAGCTGGCTTGCCCTTTTAGGTACAGGCCTATTTATAATGCTGCCCAGGAGGCCCATGGGAACAGGCTGTGGGAGCATGGACTGGGGCTCCAGGGGCTTGGCAGACAGGGAAAATATCTCCATGTCCTTTTGTGTGCCACTCCCACAGGGTTCCCACTGTTTCTCTCTGGGGGGAGGGAAAATCACAAGGGCCCCTGCCTCTGGCATCACTCCCACACTTACAGATACAGGGCTCTCGCCAATCTGTCTCCACTCTTCCAGGTAACTCAGGCTCCCTCAGTCACTGCTCTTCCTCATTAGCCACTTTCCCAACCACAGCAGCCAATGTGCATTTACTAGTGACGTCCTTGGGCTCTAGGAGTTCATATTCTCTTTAAAAACCAAGGTAGGCCTCAAAATGTGCAGTCCCATCATTCAAAATAAGGGCATTCACTTCTTCAGCTTTTCTTTTCCCATCTTTTCTTTCCGTTGATGAAACAGACCTTGATGTATGGAAATCACTCTTTATTGCACCTGTGTTACAGATAAAGATTAGATGAGATAAAAGCTAGTTAATTAGTGATAATATCAGTTGGATAACCAGTTTTTCTGACTCTTTATTCATTCATATTCAACAAATATTTATCAAGGGCTTACAGTGTAAAAAGAAAAATAGACAGCCCCTCCAGAAACTCTCATCCTCATGGAGTGGTATAGACAATACATGGAGCTACCATGAAAAACAAAAAGCATGTTCAATAGTTTAAGGAGGAAAATAAAGGGAATGTGGGAATAGATAAATATCAGGGGGCAGTTGACTTTTTTTAATAATATATTTTATTGATTTTTTTATAGAGAGGAAAGGAGAGGAATAGAGAGTTAGAAACATTGATGAGAGAAAAACATTGATCAGCTGCCTCCTGCACACCCCCTACTGGGGATGTGCCCGCAACCAAGGTACATGCCCTTGACCGGAATCAAACCTGGGACCTTTCAGTCCACAGGCCAACGCTCTATCCACTGAGCCAAACCAGTTAGGGCAGGCAGTTGACATTTTAAGTGAAGCTGCCAGGGAAGGGCTCACATAATGGAAACATTTGAGAAGAAGCCTGAAGGGAATGAGGAATGTGTCTATGGAGATATTTGAGAAAGGCCATTTCAGGAAGAAGACAGAGAAACTACAAATAAAGTTCCCGAGAAGGGGGTGTATTTGATAGTTTAGAACAACAAGGAAGTCAGTGTGCCTGTGTAGACAGACAAGGGGAAGAATAGTAGGGAGATGAAATCACAGCGGTGATGGGGAGTTGAGTCACATAGGCCCTTATAGGACATTTAAGGGTTTTCACTTGGACTCTGAGTTTGGTGGCTACAACAGTGGTCTTGTGTCTTCATTTATTTTTCTCCTTAAACTACTGGCTTTTGGGAAAGTCTCCAATTCATTGTGAGCTTGTCCACCTTAGTCAGAACACAACATTTGCTCTGCAAACCACCCATTCCTGATGTGTCCATATTACCCACACCCTAGGGATGAAAGCTTATAAGTTTTCAAAATTATTAGGCAGTGGGGCTGTTCACACATTAGAGTGTGTGGGTGAGGTTGGGGAGACATCTGTAGTAGTGTGAACATCTTGGCCGTCTGGATCTTGAGACTGAAGTTCCTTCTTCTCTTTCCTATTTGTGAGACTCTGAGTACCCCCAACCTTCTTCTCTAGTCTATGTCACTCTTTTTCTTTCTCCTCTTCCTCTCTCCATACCCTATCTTATGTGGTGGGTTCAAACAAACAAAGAAACAAACAAACACCCAGTATGTAATTCCACACCATCTGAACTTTTCCACCAATTTCCAACAGTGAATAAAATATTGTCCCTGGTCTTGAGAAGTGGGTACAGAAGTGGGCTAGTTGCAGTAGATTCTGAAGAGGGAAGTTGTGCATGAGAAAAAAGCACAGGTACTATAGGAGCACCTGGAAAGGACACCAGCCAGACTTGAGCAGTCAGGAAAAAGTCTCTGAAGGAAAGTCACTTTTAAGTCAGGAGAACCGAGAGAGTGAAGGTGACACAGGTGGAGGTAAGAGCTTGTCGAAGGAATGAAGTGAGATAGAGCAATCAGGGTTAAGGAAATGTAAGTTGCTTGTTGTGCCTGGAGTACCACATACCGGGGAAGTAATAAGGCTTGAGAGGAAAATAGAGCTAGGTTATCAGAGATTTTATTATTTTTACTATGTGGTAGGCCCTGTTCCCAGGGTCTGGAAGACACCATAAATGAAGCAAAGGCCTTACACTCAGTGATCTTACCTTGTAATGGGGAACAAGAAAAGAAATAAACAGATATGTAGTATGTTGAGCAATGAAAGTGCTAGAAACTAAAAACAAGATGGGTAGAGAAGAGAGTGAATGCAGACAGGAATTGAGGGAGAGGTTGTTGTTATTTTTTTTGTCAAGAGCCCTGTAATAAGATGACACTTCAGCAGAAACCTGCATGAAGTGAGACAGTAAATCATGTGGGTACCTGGGGGAAGAATATTTCAGGTAGAGAGAACAGCAAGTGTGAGGTCTGATGTTGAAGCATGTTTGGTGAGTTTAAGAAAATATTGGAGGCTAGTGTGGATGTAGGAGAGTATATAAAGGGGGGAGTCGTTGGAGCAGTTGAGATGATGGAGAGGAGTCAGATATAACATATAATGACTGTGAATATTCCCTGGGTAAGAGAGGAGACCACTGGAACATGTTGAACAGAAGAAGTGACATGATTTGTCTTGTGTATTTGTCTTGTCTAGATTGTAAAGCAAAAGTGGATGAAGAAAGATCCATCAGGAGGCTATTATATTTCAGGTCCAAGATGACGCTGGATTGGATCATGGTGGTAGTAGTAAAGGTGGTGGAAAGTAGTTGGATTCCAGATGTCAATACTTGAAATATCTGGATGAAAGAGTCATCAGCATTTTTTGATAAACTGGACGTGGAATGGAAGAGAAAGAAGTGCCATGACTCCAAGAGTTCTATCTCAGTAAATTCAAAGGCAGAGTTTCTGAGTTTTGGGAGACTGTGATTGAGCATGTCTTTGTCTTGATGTGAGTACATAGTTTTAGACATGATGAGTCTAACATGATTATTACCAGTATACATTCAAATTAAATACTGATACCTAGGCAGTTGGATATGCATCTGGAGTGTACATATTAACTTGGGATTTGTCAGGATATAGTTGGTATTTAAAACCATAAAGCCAAATAAGATGACCAAAATTCAAATATAGCAAAGAAAAAACATACAGGTCTGAAAATAAAAACCTGGGATATTCCAGCATGCAAATATCAGGGAGATAAAGATTACAATCATTGAGACTAAAATACTATTGATGAACATGCTGAGAATTTTGACACCATTCTTATTATTAAATAGTAATATAATCACAAAGTGAGTCCTCTGTAGATATGAAAGACTACTGCTACTTCCTTGCTGGATTAGATGCCAGCTATAGGGCCCACCTTTATGGAATGATTCTAATGTGACATGGAAATATGTGCTTTAAAATTTGAGAATTAATGGATATACCCAAGTTGAAAAACTTGATGGATTAGCTCTTACATAAAATATATGCCACAAATAAAAACATCTATATATATAAAAAGCCAGCGACTGGAACTCTGTAACGACCATAACAACCGGTCACTATGACGCCCACTATGGCCAGCAAATTGGCCCGATCCTCAACTTTGTATTGTTCACCTTGGAGTGTCTCTTATCCTGCTCAAGCTGTGGAAAGCATCCAGCATGGCCCAAGGTGTCCACGGGGGACCTCCTGGCCGGCAAGACGTAACCCTGGCCACAGAAGGGACATTTGGAAATATTTTTTCAGAAAGCTGCGAGGAGGAGGATAGACTCCCCACTCGACTTCCCTGTGACTCAAGGGGACGTGGAAACTCCCCGGGCATGGAGGCATGGGCTCCCGATTTCCTTTCAATGTGCATGAATCTGTGCACCCGGCCACTAGTCTATATAATAAAAACCTAAGCGACTGTTATGGAACGACCAGAACAATTGATTGCTATGATGAGCACTGACCACCAGGGGGCAGCCACTCAATGCAGGATCTGCCCCTTTGTGGTCAGTGCGCTCCCACAGGGGGAGTGCTGCTCAGCCAGAAGCCAGGCTCATGGCTGGTGAGCGCAGTGGTGGTGGTGGGAACCTCTCCTGCCTTGGTGGCAGCCCTAAGAAGCAACGAGCCAAGTGGTAAGGAGCAGCGAGCAGGTGGGTGGTAAGGAGCGAGGGGTCCCAGACTGTGAGAGGGTGCAGGCCGGGCTGACATACCCCCCACCCCCCCAGTGCACGAATTTCGTGCACTGGACCTCTCTCTCTCTCTCTCTCTCTCTCTCTATATATATATATATATATATATATATAGCTTACAGTACAGGCAGTGTTAAGATAAGAGTGAGGGACCTGAAGTCAGTTTGCATGGATGTAAAATATGATTTTGTTACTTACCAGCTATTTAAGCATGCAATTTAACATTTTGTGCTTGTATTTTCTCATTGATATTAGAAGTAACTACCTTGTAATGTTGTTTGGATATAAAAATGTTTTAATATATGTAAAAAACACACCTAGAGCTATGACTGGTCAAAGGAAATAAGTGTTAGTTAAAATTATTATTACAGTTAGGAAGTACTATCTAATTCTCATAAAGGAGTGATTTTTTCCTAATGTGTTGTTCTAACTGCTATGAAGTGGATTAAGTAAAAAGGATTGTTGGCAGGATTAACAATAGTTTAGAATGAAAGGTGATGAGGAGAAGAAATTCTAGACTTAGGGCTGTTTGTTCCTTTCATTCTATTTAAAAAATTTTAAAAATATATTTTTATTGATTTTTAGAGAGGAAAGGAGAGGGAGATAGAGATAGAAACATCAATGATGAGAGAGAATCATTGATTGGCTGCCTCCTGCATGCCCCATACTGGGGATCAAGCCCACAACCCAGGCATGTGCCCTGACAGAGAATCAAACTGTGACCTCCTAGTTCATAAGTCGATGATCAACCACTGAGCTATGCTAGCCGGGCATCCCTCACATTCTTATGTCTCTGTATCCACATTTGTAAAATAAAGGAGTCAAGCTAGCTGATATTCTACATACAACCCAATCTGTAATTTTTTGCTCAGTTTTATCGAGCGCTAGTTCTATTTTTTAATAACATGATTTGATGTAGAGTGGCTAGAATTCTATGCATTTATATGTCTTTGGAATGGAGAATTTTTATCACAGCTCTACGTATCTGTTTGGTCTTCACACTGTAGATGATGGGGTTCATCACAGGTGGGATCAGCAGGTAGGTGTTAGCAATCATAGTATGTACATATGGTGGGGCCTGTTTTCCAAATCTGTGAACAAAGGATAGACTGATCAATGGAATATAGAAAATACCAACAGCCCCAATATGGGAGATGCATGTGCTGAAAGCTTTCTTTCTCTCTTCTGGGGATGCAATGCTGAGGACAGTCTTAATGATCAAAACATAAGACAGGAGGATGAGGATTGAGTCCACCCCAACAGTAGAGATCATGGCTGTCAACCCCACCGCATTGTTGATCTTGGTGTCTGTGCAGGAGAGCTTCATCACATCGGGGTGGAAGCAGTAGGAGTGGTGTAGCACGAGGCTGCGGCAGTACGACAGTCTTTTCAGAAGGGCTACCATTGGTGTCAGCATAAGTGTCCCCCTGATGACAATTGCTACTCCAATTTGAGCTATCCTGGAGTCAGTTAAAATGGTTGCATACTTGAGAGGATGAGAGATGGCCACAAAACGATCAAAGGCCATGGCCAACAGCACTGAGGATTCCATGACAGTGAAGAGTTTAATAAAGAACATCTGTGACAAGCAGGCATTAAAGCTGATCTTCCGGGCATTGAACCAGAATATACCCAACATGGTGACTAGGGTGGAGATGGACAGGCCGAGGTCAGTGGTGGACAGCATGGAGAGGAAATAATACATGGGTTCGTGAAGGCTGGGCTGAGTGACAATGGCAAAGAGAATCAGGCTGTTTCCTGAGAGGGCAGTTATATAGAGAAAGCAGAAGGGAATGGAGATCCAGATGTGGAAGGCTTCCAGCCCAGGAACACCAGTTAGCAGGAAAATGATGGAAGAGGATGTGGTATTCTGGAAGTTGGACATGCTGAATTATAAGTACAGAATTCCAAGGTGAAATTCTGGAACAATGAAAAAACTAAATTTAAAAAATTAATCTAAACTACAATTAATTAATTTAAACTACAATTTAAAAATAAAACCTATAATTTTATTGAACCCCAAACAAACCCAAGACGAATATCTCTATATTACATAAATATGAATAGCTCATTTAAATTAACAAAAGAATTGTACGTTTTCAGCTGCTGTAGTAGGTACGATTTAAAATTTTTGTATTTTTTATTTTTTGTATTTATCTCAGCCCACAATTTTTCTTCCCTGGGGCCCTTTGCTTGTAGCTATGTTTATACTATGTGACCTTTTCTTTCATTCCTCTAGTCAGAGCTGTCTGGACTAAATAAAGACATTTTACCCAAGATGGGAAGATCATATTTCATTCTTTTTGGAATGTTTAAATTGTGATAAGAGGTAGCAGGTTGGTTTTCCTGTATAGTTGACATAAGAGAAATATAGATTGGGGCTTTAGAGCAGCAGTATTACATCAGCCATAAGTATAGAAAACAGAGAATCTTAGGACGATTTTGGAAGCCAGAAAATATGAGATATTTATAATATATGGAACACATATTAAATGACAATAAATGGCTTAGGCACCAGTGCAGTGTGTCTACAGTATCTAACCTTTGCAGTGACCCTTAGAATGCAGCACCTGGCATCACATTTGTGAGGGATGGAGAGTTAGAGCACAGACCTACCACCATAGGGACAGAGGCCTTTGCCCTCACTTGACATTTTTGCTGCCATGTTCAGACATATTTGGTTCTTCAATCTTCCTGAAGACTAGTTGTTCTCTAGAACAGATTTTCTCCATTTTGTTAAGACATACTTTTTCAAGAGATACCTAGTACAATGTTACTGTTTTGCTTTGGAGGAAAAGATAAAACTATATAGAAAACATCTTGTTTCTTTCTTTTTTTTCATCGAGTAAAAAATTCAAATTAGGCATATGGGTTTGTATGAGTTGGAAGAGGAGGTCTGGGGAGAGCAGAGTTTAGGGTTGTGGCTAGAGAGGGCTCAATCAGTGAGAAGTAGCCAATATTATGGTAACTGTTTCTTAGGGAAACCTAAGAGTTTCCAAGACACACAAGTTTACCCAAATAAAGTGCTACCTCAAGGATTCCCTAAAGAAATATTAGATTGAAAATTGGGAAATTTTGGCCCTGGTTGGTGTGATTATGATAATATGCAATGACTGAGTTGTAATTTTGCTCACTGAGTTCTAGAAAATTTTATGAGATCAGTTTTTTTAAAATTATTAATTGCTATCTGAAATTTCTCATTCATCCTAACTTCTTCATGGCTCCCCTTACATTATTTCATTAATTCAAACAATTTCTTCCTTGCTCATTTGCATTCTTCTTATCAATTTCTTCCCTTCCTTTTTCTGGCTTGGATATCAGAAGAAAAACATAGAGTTTAGGTTGAAATGATCTGTGCCAAGTCTAGCAGAAGGGAGCTCATCCAAACTCTTTCCCCAACCCTCCTACATCTTCCTACACCTGCTCCTCATTCATGCTGGGCTCCAACACAGGGGATTCCTTATTCCATTTAATAGCCAGTAACTCCACTCAAGCTCTTGATCATCCATAAACACTAGTTTGTTTCAACATCAAACTGAGAGCACACACTGTATTGTGTCAGCATTAAGCATATGAAGCAAGTAAAATAACAGGTTTGGTGTCTGAGAAAACCAGAGAGTTTGCCAGGACCTCATCTTTTGGTTCATGAGTTGATGCTCAACCATTGAGCCACACCTTTTTAAAGCTGAAAACCTTATCCTAATATATAAAAAACACTGGGTCCGTCACATCCACAATGACCAGAGGCCTGACCTAATGCCCAGGCTGCACGCGCATCAGGCTCTGGTGGGGGCGGACTTGTGGCAGTGGAGACAGGGACGAGGGAGGTTGGGCTGGCACTCACACTCACTCACAACCACACACACACACACACACACACACACACACACACACACACACAGACACACACCAGCTCACAGTCTTTTCTCCCTTTCTTTCCCTCCTTCCCAGCTTACTCTTGGAGCCTCTCTCAGAATGAGGGAAAAAAAAACAAAACAGACCGGGCCTGAAGAGGGCTGGATGGAAGGGAGGGTGGGAAGAGCATGGAGCGGCTCCCCACTGACCCCTCCCCCTCCCAGCCAGGAACGGAGGAAGAGGGAGACAGGGAGGCAGGGAGGCCTGGAGGACTGCTGAGAAAAACAAAGAGAGACAGAGACTGGGCGAGATCAGGCCAGCAGGGGAGGGCAGTTGGGGGCAACTAGGCCAGCAGGGGAGAGCAGTTGAAGGCAAGATCAGGCCAGCAGGGCAGTTAGCAGTGATGAGATAGGCAAAGGCAGTTGGGGGCAAGATCAGGGCGGCAGGGGAGAGCAATTAGGAGTGATCAGGCAGGCAGGCAGAGGCAGTTAGGGGTGATCAGGCAGGCAGGCAGAGAGGTTAGGGGCTATCAGTCAGGCAGGCAGGCAGGCAGGCAGAGAGGTTAAGGGCAAATCAGGCAGGCAGGCAGGTGAGCAGTTAGGAGCCAGCAGTCCCAGATTGCAGTCCCACAAGGAATGGGCCTAAACTAGCAGTCAGACATCCCCCAAGGGGTCCCCAATTGGAGAGGGTGCAGGTTTGGCAGAGGGAACCCCACCCCCCCATGCACGAATTTTATGCACCAGGCCACTAGTTTTTAATAAGAGTCCAGTAATTCTTATGAAAATAAGAAATGAAAAAGTGTCAATTTTGAATACCTACTACATGCCAGGCACTGTATTAGTTACATATCAGAGGATATGTGACTCTACTGCTACCTGTAGAGTGCACAAGGATAAGATGCTTCTAAGCAATAAAACCGAAATAGTGTAGGGTGACAGATAGTGTGTGTATGTAAGAATATGTCTGTGTGTGTTTAAGAATTATCAGTTCTGCCCTAACCAGTTTGGCTCAGTGGATAGAGTGTCGGCCTGTGGACTGAAGGGTCCCAGGTTCGATTCCAGTTAAGGGCATGTACCTTGGTTGCAGCACATCCCCAGTAGGGGGTGTGCAGGAGGCAGCTGAGTGATGTTTCTCTTTCATCGATGTTTCTAACTCTCTATCCCTCTCCCTTCCTCTCTGTAAAAAATCAATAAAATATACATAAAAAAGAATTATCATTTCCAAGAAATCTTAACAGAGTAGATAAAATATAACTGTGTAAAGTTCTAATGAGAAGAAGTGAGTTCACAAGGATGAAAAACAGGAAAGAGTGTTTTTGACATAAAGACATGAGCAGGGGCTGAGTGAAATAACAAAATACAAGAAAATTGCTATGCTGGAGCCTCACATGCAAAGCTAAAGGAATTGGTGGGGGCAAGGACATGACACTCTTGCATTCCAAGGGAAGAATAAGGAACTTAGATTTTAGTTGCAGAGCATCAAGAGCCAGGCATTTCTAAATATTTTATGAATAAGTAAACAAATCATTCTCATCTCTTCTGATTTAACTCCAACAAAATTCCTTTCCACTTTAGTAACTTATTTTGCAACATTGGCTCTCATTTGGCATTCCACAATACTCAAGTTTTATCCCCCCCCACACTTTTCTATAGATATTTTCAATACACACCCAATTCACCCAAGATCTATTGACCATATCTCATCATTGGCCATATATTTTATGACAAGAAATGTTCTTTGGACAATCTGCTTCACCTTCAGTAACAATCTGAAAATTTTCTGCAGTGACTCACAGAAAGTTCTCCAACTGATGCCATCAATGACTTTCTAAACAGCAAATCCAATTTTTTTTTCAGATTTGTTTCCCTCTCCCTCTTCTCAAATTTCTTCCATGTTGCCCACCTCCTCTTTGAAATTCTCCTTCATTTCCTACAAGATAGTTATTCTGTGGGCTCCCCCACTACTCCCATTTACCAAACAACATTTTTGTACTCTATCTTTTAATTGTGGTATTCCTTAGAAGTCTGTTTTTTTTCTTTTTAATGTTTTTATTGATTTCAGAGAGAGAGGAAGGGAGAGGGAGAGAGAGATAGAAACATCAATGATGAGAGAGAATCATTCATTGGCTGCTTCTTGCAGGCTCCCTACTGGGGATTGAGCCTGTAACCCAGGCATGTGCTCTAACTGGGAATCGAACTTCAACCTCCTGCTTCATGGGTTGATGCTCATATGACCTATTGACCCACACTATCTGGGATTTTTTGCATGTGTTTCTTTTTGAGAAGTTTCTCTTTTTTCTTGCTGTCCCAGATATTATACTCTCTTTGGGATATCTTAATTATTCCCATGGTATTAAATAGTATTTATATCCAGATGGCTTGCAAATCTGAAGTCTAATTGTGGTCTTTCCTGAGTTCTATATTTCAAAAGTTGATAGAATTTTTAAAGCTGTGGCAAGGTTACAAACTTGAAGGCATTAACAAATTTTGGAACTAGAGTGAGGAGATCACATTAACAATTTAGGAAAATGACTGGAACCAATTTGGAGAACAAATCAAAGCTCTCTGCTTAGTGCCAGTGAGTAAAATTTTATCTCGCCTTGAGGGACATCTTTAATCATATTCCCTCAGATAACTCAACCTCAATGTGAGCCAAACCCAGGGTATTCCTTCCCCCATTCCAATTTCACTCTCGCTTCTATGCTTTATTTTTTACAAAATGACATCAAATTCTATCAAATCATCTAATTAGCATTACCTCCCTCCCACACACAACCATATACACACATTCTTCTCCTCCTCTCATACCCTACATGCAAATATTAATTAAATTATTATTGATTCTACTTTTGAAATGTCAAAAATGAGAGCATCCAGTGGTTTACATATGAAGACTAAGGGATAGCAATATGGTTGGTAGTGGGTACTTAAAGCTGTATTTCATTGCATTTTCTCACATTGAAAGATTGTTACTGTTCATATCTATACTAATAAAAGGGTAATATGCTAATTAGACCAGATGTCTTCTGGA